ATTATCAACTTTTATTTTGTTGATAATTTTCCCATCAATTATATGGGTAAATTAAACGATGTCGTGGGAGTCTTTTTTGATAATAATGGTGATAACAAATAGTTGTGATAAAAGTATATGAATTGATGGAGGATTTATTCTTCGTCTACGTTATTATCAGAAAATGTTATCAGTTATCAGAAAATATCATGGTCATATTCGGTCACTATGTTAGCAGTATTTCTGATAGTATTGACGGTAACATCCATGAAGGACAGATGGTGACACTGTTCAAACCAAATTAAAACGCACCATTTACAGTTCTTTGAAAATAAAAGAGTGAACAAACAAAGAGTTCGTTTAATATTTTAAAACAAATGAACTATTGCCGAGCAATTGTCATACCATGGATTTCTACAATACTAAATTATTTTGACATATTTTAATCAATTTTCATTATAAAATTGTTTCCGTTTTCCAACAAGCAATATTTGAAAATAAGATGAAAATAAATTTTTTTTAGTTATCATAAAAATTCGCTATTAAATAATATTTTAATGTAATTTTAAAATCTGAAAATTTTAATCTTAATTTTAACAATTTTTGCTTTTTTCTTTCTTTATATAAATTCGCATTTATTTATAAAATATTTAAGAACTTTTTGTTCTGTATTGGACAAAATGCATATGTTGGCTAATATTTATAGAGGTACCATTGATATTCAAATGAAAAAATTACTAATTGCTGTATATCTTATTTTTTTTAATCTCTAAAAGTAAAAAATAAACCAAATATACAGCAATTAGTAATTTTTTCATTTACATTTTTTTTAATCATTTCATTTTGATCACTCATGCTTGCAAAAAAAGGAAAGGAACGAAAAAAGAAGAAATTATTATAGAAATAAAAAATGATCAAAGATAGTTTATCGAAATTGAATGAAATAATTATCATTTCTGATACGGTATAATGAGAAAAGTGTTTTACTATTTAGGATATACTGGACAACGATGGGGTATCAGAGAGAGTGCAGCACAGTACAGTAGAAAGTAGCACGAATTTCAGGTTGTTTGCAACTTGCATGAAAACCCATAGGTTTTGTTGCGCATAGCCGCGCGAGAATTATCATGCAATGTTGTTACGTGATGTGGGCATCATTGCTACGTGATCAACGTGATAGTGATAGGCTTGTTTACGTATATCCACGTGTTAGTACCTTAATCATTTTCTTATCTCCTCATATGTTTGGCGATCGAGTGGGTCAATCTATGCATTCATATTATCGATCTTTTTATCATTCTAACTGTCCATATATTTATTCCTCAGTTCATTTTCCAATCCATAAATCAATATTTTAGGAGTAAAATTTCATACTTATTGTCATTGGGGATGTATGTATATCGGATACACTGTTTAAGATTTTAAATTTTTTTACGTGTAGTATTAATGTTTATAATTTTATGATTAAATTCATTTTCATTTTTTCGTCTTTCTCAATTCTTATTTCGATATTTTTTCAATTTGTATAATTTGGACAATTTTTTGCTTATTTCCCGATAGCTATCGTAGATTAGAAAATCGCTGAAAGGATTTTATTTTCTTCTAATTCTTTTTTGATCTTTTCAAGCATGATTTATCTTCATATATGAATGCTATTATATTTTGACATGCTTCATGTCTTTTTCCTCATAATAAAACTCTATCGTTAATTTTTCTTTATTCTGTGATAAAATTCTTTTTATAAACGTACTTTTATTTTTTCATCAGCTCTTTTTTTCATTCTCTTTTTTTGTTTTCATATAATTTTTAGTTAGAAATAAAGGCTTGAGGATTCTAATTGTCGTTTTATTACACCATAAGCTGCAATTTTAAATTCCATCGACGAACGGAGGGTAAGAAAATTGGTTTGTTGTAGCAGCATTTAAAATAACAACAACAATAATTGCTAATATGATGTCGCCCGAACAAGAATTACGCTTACTGTATTTGTATGATGAAGAAATTATAAAAAGGTAATTTTGTGATGAAAGTTGTAAAATATTTTAAGTGTTCTAAAAAAAAACTTTTAACGACATTTTATCATCTTCTAAATATACATTTCTTTCATTTAACCTTTTTCAATAATTCTATTCTTATTATTTTATTATTTATTAGGTAATGATGAGGATCTTTAGGATTACGATGGATATACTGGACTATTGATTTCCATTTGTTTTCGAACTTATTAGTTATCAAGCTTGAAAAATTTATGATTGAAAGGATTTGTGCATAAACATAGTTATCCAAGTATTATTTCAAAGAACAGTATGAAATTATTAATGTAGGTAAAAATTTTATGTATATACATATCTGTATATATACATATCTGAATTGATTATATATCAATTTAAATTAAATAGGGAAAAAAGGTATGTATGCTTGAAACAGATGGAATGAATGATAGAATAAATTGGACCATTAATTTCTATTGGTTTCGAACTTAGTTATTAGGATGGAAAAATTCGTGTGGATAGTTATTCAAGCATAATACATTATATTCTATTATATGACTGAGCAAAGAATTTGAATTTTATATTTTATAGGAGAAATATTGTTTTCAACTTTATAGTTTGTTCAAAAAAATATTTATGTCGAAACTCATTTTACAAATTATTTTTGGTTCGTTCGAAGTTATTAAATTTCTGCTGAGTTATTAAAATTATGATTTGCAAATTATGTAACTGTATTTATATATCATAATTGTTGAAAAAAAAAGATTTTTATAATTTTAAGCAGTATTTGTTTGGCGAAGTTATTTAATTGGCTCATTTATCTGTTAGATAGTGAGGAGAATCTTTAGTTGTTTGATTGATGAAAAACATTATTACTAGGATGAGGTTTTACCAAAAATTAAAGATTGGAAAATTGTAATCTAATGTTCTTTAGGATTGCAGTGCATCATGTCGAAGCTGTTAAGTTTGCCAAACTTCTCAAACATAACGAATACGAAACTCTCGTCGAACAGTATAATTTCAATTGGATTGTCTTTTCAGTAAAGCTATGGGAACGACTGTGGAAGGCATCAACACGTACCCTTCTCTTCGAAACCGTTCTATCCTATCTTCTCGCTTGTAAGTTGTTGAATTGATGAATTAAACGTTATGCTAAAGATTAGATAGAGGTATTAAGAACTAATGTGAACTTTTTTTTAAAAAACTGAAATAAGTGGTTATGCAGTGTGTGATTATCATAATTTATCAATGAACATTTGTCATCGATATTCTTGATGATTTTGATGGTATGCGTTCGACAATAATCACAGTGAAAGTTTTTTTTTTCTGTTCCTGTTATTTGCATAATCTATTCGGAAAATTTTCCACATTGTTAAGGAAGTACTTAAAATGAAAAAATTAAAAAGAAATTTGCAATTTCAAGAGTTGAAAATAAATGCTTATCGATTTTTTTTCAATGAAGCAATGCAGAAGTGAGTAAAAATCATGTTGATTTTGCTTATGTTTTACTTTAGAAATTTAAAGCTTATAACTTTTCTCTCTCATCGAATCTGTATTAATTCTGTAACTATTTCAGGCGATCAAAAACTCCATCGACGATTATTATGCATCAATTTTACAAGCAGTATGCTTGACTTAATCGAAATCTTAAGGAATCTCGATGAAATTTTCAAAAATATGAAGCCTGATGTCGTGTGTGAAGAGATTTCCCGTATAAGCGATCATCATGCGAATTTGATGAAGCCGGTAAAAAACATAATTGAGCGATTAGGTAAATTGTGACGTTATTTGCCTTTCCTTTTTAATTTTCAAAAATTTCTAGAATGCAACAAAATTCATAACTGTTACGGGAATAAAAATATAAAAGAGTGTTACAGGTAGAAAATCATCAGCAAATAATTGATGGAACCTCTCATACATTAACTTGACAGTCTGTTAGACTTTTGTCATATTTATAATTTTCAAAATTTTCGATTCAAGATTTTAAAAAAAATGCATAATCATGCTGTTTTTAATACGCTGCTTTTGATATCATGCTAGCAAACGAGCTTATTACTGACTTACTGTAATGTTCCAACAATAGTTGTCTTTTCGATAGCGAAGACACAGCTATTTATGTGGTTGATTCTCATTTATATATTCTTCTTTAAAGGAGAAACATCTGCCAAGAAATATATTTTGCGAACAGTACTCGATATGGGTGAAGGAGGATTCCTAGATTTACTGAACGCAGTGGCAGCTTGCTCCGATACTGCTCATCATTTTGTGATGGAATTGTATCCTGATTTTGAGCGATATTATCGTAAGCCTTTGGATATGTTTTCTAAATAACAAGCACTAGATTTACAGATTAACATCTACCAGGAATTGGATTAAAAATGGAATATGCTTACACAGCAAGAATCGCAAAAGCGCTTTTGGATTGCTCATGAAATATGTATAGAATTTGCTCATTAAGGATTGTCATTATATAAGATCGAAGTAATAGCCAGTCGATGTAAGGAAATTTTAGAAGTAAAAAGAATTGTTTTTTTCTATAATGAATATCATCTAATTATCCCTTTAACTATACTTGGGGCACACTTGATTGAAAATTCTTACATCTTGCCCGGTCAGTTTTTTAAAGGAATTTTATATAAAAATGCTGGAAAGTAGAATGATGATTGACTAATCATTGCATTTATAAATTGTTTGATTTTACTTCAGGTTTGTTTGTGCATGAACGCAGGAAAACGGAACGAGGTTTGACATTTATTAATACATATAAGCTTCTGTTGGTCTTAATTAACAACGAGTTATTATAAATAGTATGCTGTTTATAATAACTCGTTGTTTAATTTCCTACAGGAATTGCTTTAGAAATAAAATTTGGTTTCGGAACGTTAAAGGATTATGGATGAATTATAAGTTTTTTTTTTCCAAACTTTTGGTTCATTATCAAGCCTAACAGTAAAAAAGGCAATTAGTACGTTTGTTTTCAATACTACGTTTCTATAAATTTAATTAGGTCTGCCGGATAAATGGGAATGAATATACTTGGAACTTTACGCACTAGGAGGACTCAGGGAGCAAACAGGAATTTGTTATTTAGCTTACGTTTGTTTTCATTTCATTTATTTATTCGTTTTCTTATTCCTTTAAACTCTTCGATGAATTTCATATCCGGGCTTATCCTATATTCTCTATGATCTCCAGGATGTAAAAGTATAAGCGCACCGCTATTCTTAATCTCATAATAATTTTCTTCATGTGCTTGAGGTTTCATGATATTTTGTCACTTTGAATTCTCCTTTATCCGGATAATTTATCATCATAATTAAGATGTACATTTTGCGAAATCTGCACTTAGTTTTTGCGAAATGTACATCTTAATTATGATGATAAGTTATTTCTATCACTAGTGCTCTGGTTTTATATTCCTTAAAACAATGTAGTTCGTCTTAAATGAATTAACTCACCGTGAGCTTTCTATCCAGGTCGATCAATATACTCCATTCATAAGCAGAAACATTTTTTGGAAAATGAAATTGAGTGAAGAAAATACTCATTAAATCATCTTTTTCTCATCCACTTTTGTTTATCCTCTATCAAATACTTTTTTTCATTATTCTGAAAAATGCGTCTTATATCTAGCGATAACACTTTGATAGCACATTATCACTGTATATTATTCCTTTCAGGGAAGTTTTATTTTTGCGAATGTGATGTTCCGATAGCTAATGTTATTATGGAATCACGATCAAATAAACTGGAGAAGGTGTGCATGATGGATTTACGTTATGAGCATTTTCCTGTCAGTGCATCAGACGCAGTTAAAGATGATATTTATGAAGGTTTTGTTGTTGATTAAAATAAATAAGCTTAATTAATTAATTATTTAACATCTCAAACTGACCACATTTTGAGAATATTTGCGTCGAAAATACATTAAATCTGTATTTGGATAACTTTTTGATAATTCAATAGATTTCTGTCGATTAAAACAATAAATGCCTATTTTGCCAATACTTCGCTACCGAATAATCATAAAAATCTTACTCGTGGGGACGAAGTTTGCTGATAACAGAGTAAAGAAGATTATCTGCATAATAAATTTCAAGAATTGCGAATAAAATAGAAATATATAGATTAGGGAAAAAAGTTACAGATTTTTTTGCAGGCAACGTTATCATTTTACGAAATTATCAGAAAGAACTGGCTCAAGCAGCTTATGAAGGGCGAAATACCTTGATTTGTGCACCAACAGGAACTGGGAAAACTGTGGTAGCGGCATCGATTGCTCGAAATCATCTTGTATTGGGCAGGAAAAATGATTTTCATACGAAGGTATGTCAAAATTTTAATGGGAACATTATTCTGAAACTGTTTTTAGTAAAAAAAATCATTAATTTTGTTCCGAACTCTATCCCCTTCCCCTTTGCAAATATTTTTACGGGATGATTTCAAGCAGCAAATTTCCTTACAATTCTTTTCATTCTATTATCTTCATGTTATGAGAAATGCATGAAGTTGCATCAAAATATTAACGGAACTTGCAAAAATCGTCAATGAAGTATTTTTATCATATAAATGAAATATATTTCGAATCCTACGTTGAAAAAGTTTCTGTTTGGTGCACGCTCAGTATCAAAATAAGGAAGAACTTTCAGATTTGTTTCTTTGTTACGAATACGACATTTCTGGAGCAGCAGGCAAAGACGTTGGAAAAATTTGTTGGTCATCGTTGGAAAGTTGTCTTTTTGAGCGGCATAACGGTGAATACACCTATTGCGGAGACGATTGAAGCTCATGATGTTATTATTATTACACCTCAACTTATTGTGTCAGTATTTCCATATATATCCATTCTTTAGAGATACTTGCTTTATCATTCATTGTTCGTAGAAAGCATGAAAATTTGTGAGATAATTTCCTGATTCTGAAGCAAATTGACACCAGATGATGTTTTCAAGAAATTTAAACACCATAATTCTTCTAATACTCTTAGAAAAAAGTGTTGTTCCATGATGAAATATAGCAATTTACGAAATGATTGTCTGCTGAGCTGTTTTCGGCACTGCGATTTTCAAGTCAGCAGTGCGTTTTTATTCAAAATGCAGGCGATCCTTTTGATAGCTAAAGCATTTCCAGCTATTATTCTATCATTTAGCATTCCAGGAATCTCCTGAAGACTTGTAATAAATACAACGATTTGCCCTTCTCGTTATCTTCATTTTCACTAATATTTTTCGATGAAGCTCATCATGCAGATGGAAATCATCCATATAATGGTATTTTCAAAGCCCCATTCACTTATTATTGCAATAGAGACAAGGATTTGTCGCCGCATCGAACTCTTTAATTAATTTGTTTATATATGTCGTCTCATCGAACTCTTTAATTTATTTAATTAAACACCGGATAATTAATTCCTATTTTCGGAAAATTTTTTCGCTAAAAATCTTGTATTTTAGTGATTATGAATGACTATCACGACATGAAGCACACTGGTAAGATTCTTGATGGGAAACGCTTACCCCAGGTACTATTTTCAGAATAATTACTTTTTTGATATGTTGCGCTATTACTGATATCAATATATTCATTGTAGTCGGTAATTTTTAATCAACAATCATATTAGGTAATATTGATTAACAAACGAGTTTGGCACCGTAAACTTCGTTATGAAAAAGTGCTGAGCTAAGTAACTGGATAGCAAGATAAATTTCTAAGATTTCACAGTTTCAATGTAGCTGCTCTCAGTTTAACATTCATTCTTAAATTTTGAAGCTAACGTTTCATAGGTTGTTGGTCTGACGGCTTCATTAGGTATTGGTAATGCTCAAAATGCTTTGGAAGCAGTAGATCATTTTATTAAAATATGCGCAAACTTGGATATTACCGTCCTAAGTTATGTGCACGAAAACATTGATGAACTTCGTGCGTTTTCATCCATTGCTGCTGACGGTAAGAATTTTGAAAGTTTTTTTTTAAATACTTAGAAAATATCGTAAGCTTAATATGTTATGCTAGTAGCTGTGATGGAAATTGCAAGCAAAGATAATATTTACTCTTTTTGTCATACACTTTGACACTTATATTCAAATTAAAATAACAGATAAGTTGCAGTTTTTTTTTCGCTTCTATTTTTTCAAAGGCTGCTCGATTTTACTTTGAGACTCTGCAATTTCAACTGAAATTTCAATTTATTATATGAGCTCATATTTTTTTTTTTGTCTCAAACAAGTACAGGACTTTTTATAGAGACGAAACTGATCGAATTCGACATAACCACTGATTCAGTAGCCGTTGGTGTCTTGGATCTCTTCAAGCGATTTGAAGACATTTTGAATAGGATTGGTACATAATTTAGTTGAATTACTGGAACTATCCGTTGATTTTTATTTGGCCTTGCTGCCAAGTCACCCTGAACTTGCTGGACTGCTGAGCTTTGAACTTATTGAATTCTAATCATATTTTAACCCATCAATCATCCCAGTATTTGAAATATATTAGGCTATTTCGCTTTAGAAATGTAACGTCGCTTTCATATTTGCAGTTGCATTTTTGACCTACTCCATTAAAATCTACATTGATCACTTAGATTTCTGATTGAATTTGAACGATTTACTTTAATTGAATCTCAATTAAATTTGCATTTTTATTAAAAGCCAGTTTAAATGATGTCCTATATGTTGTTCGTTTTAGCGAGGTCACTTTCTATGTCCGATAAAATATATAAGCATTCGAACCAGGATATGCTCCATAGGTTGACAAGTCCGCCGCATGATAAATACTCGAAAGGTTAGTGCTTCTTGTCAGTGCCTCTTAAAGGTTAAAATTTTGAACGTGGAAAGTTATTCAACTCATTGACTTTTCTTGCATTATTTTTTGAATTTAACCGATTGTAGGAAAAAATATCGTTGAGTATCATTTTCAAAATTTGAAGTGGAAACCGTGCACTGAGTTGTTATTTTTTCAATTTTTGTAAATGTTTCAGTGTATGAAACATGGTTTTCTCAGCTATTGGTCAAGTTTGTCCCTGTAGCAAAGCTTGAAAGAGAAAGCCGTTTTCTTATAATGACATGCTTGCAGTTCATTGGAGTATGTTTCGAATTTAGAATTAATATTGTTAGGTTGAAGGTTTTTACTGGGATGCTTAAATTTTTAGTATTCTATCAGTCCTCAGATAGGCATAAATTGTGGACAGCAATGTGAAAATTTCGGCGAATGTATTTTTTTGTTTTGCTAATCAGCTTTCATAGCGAATCACTATGAAAGGTGATTAGCAAAATTCGTGGAGGTATCCATATTTAACTGAAATAAAATGATCTGTTGATTATGGCATGTATTCCTTTTTTTTACAATCTGAGCCTTATATTTTTTATATGATTTGCATTATTACTAGGAGATACACGTTGCTTTGAACGACCAGACCGCTGATGTAATGAATTAACTAAAATACATCCATCAGTATTTTAATGTCAGATAAACTTGGGATTTCTGGACTAACTTATTTGTTTCAGATCCTGTTTCGTACGTTGGAATATTATATTCATTTTCCTTCATATGTTGCCAAAAAGTATTTCGAAAATGAATTTGATATCGTCCGACACACTGCAAGTCAGGAACTTGTAAATATCATGCGAAGTATTTGCTTTTTATGCTCATTGATTTCGGTTTAGGCATACTTTTATTAGGTTAAATGAGATTCTTACATCTCGAATATGATGAATCAAGGGACTATTTTCTGCATTTACCCCTATTTCCGCTTAAAATTAATTTATATATTTGTTTGTTTTTATATTTATGCTTATTTTCATTATCGATTTCTGCTCTTTAATTTTTACGTTCTTTCAGCATGTCCTCTAAAAACTGTTGTTGGAAATAGTACAGATAACAAACTATACAATGAACTTCTACGGTACTTTTCTTTCTTCAGAATCGAAAGTGAAACTTTTTGATTATAAGCTAAATTTAATTCAGTATTCCAAATGTTTTCAGATATTTTTTATAGAGAAAAATTATTAATATTAGCAAATCGAATTTTAGTGAATTACATGATCAGTTCTCTAAGCACAAGGATGGGCGTGCTATTGTTTTTGTACTGACGAGAGATTTTGCGGGGCAATTATCAAAAGAATTGAATAAAGATGAAAATCTCCAGATGTTGGATGTTAAGTCGGATTTTATTACAGGTATAATTCGAACAAAAAATGGATATACCATGTTTTATAGGTCCTGAATTTATGTTTTCAAAAACTAAAATGAAATTTCCCGGAATTTTGGAAAATGCCGCAGATTTTCCTTTCATTAATATGCTGGATTAATATCAGTTTCGAAATCTGACTCGTTTGGCCCTTTAATTTTTTTACAATGAAATTTTGATAATTTTTTGATGCAGTGACTTTAAATTCTAATCCGATACAGTGATCTTAAATTCTAATCCGTCCTGGAGTATTGTCAAGTCTTATTTGAATTTGTATTCGATATTTTTTTTCCTCATAGCGCAAAGAAAAGGAAGTGGTGTAGAGGAAAAGCGTCTCATAGATGATCCATCATTTAAAAAGTGAATATCATATTGACTACATTAGTTAGGTTAAAGTAGACCAGATTCTCACAGCGATGAATTTGGTGGACAATCTGGACAATACTTTTCTAATATACTGATTCCTTTCATAATCCATTCCCTCTTGGCCTCTTTATATCTTCCTCTTGGCTTCTTTCTCTTCGCTTCTGTTTTAAGCAAGCACATCAGGCTTTGAACAGTTTGGCACTTTCCATCACTTTTAGTTTTATTTTTTTATTTTTCGTTTGAAGGTATTAACGCATCGGGCGAGATTGGTGGTCAATCTATCAGTCAGCAGCGTGATATACTGGTACGATTTACATCGGGTGATATCAAAATTTTATGCGCAACATCGGTTGCAGAAGAGGGCATCGACATTCAGAAATGCAATCTTGTAATCAAATACAATTATGTGACCAATGAAATTGCACACGTACAACGAAGAGATTCGTATTTCATTGTTGATTCAATAATTCAGCATTCATTTTGATATCACTATTTCAGAATTTCCAAGAAGTATTATAGTTTTTTTTTTCTTTCGGGAAGTGTGCAGTAATACCGCTAATAGTTGCTTAGGAAATATAGATTGACAAGTTTAGTCTTATTTCAACATAACATTAAAAATGATTGAAGTTAGATGCTTTTACAATTTAAATAAAGCTATTAATGAAAGAAGGAAGTCTTACTTCCATCCACTTCTTAACCACATAATTTAGCATATTGTTTTAGGACGAGGTCGAGCTATAAATTCGCGTTGTGTTTTGATAACATGTGATCAAAAATTACAAGCTCGAGAGGAAAAAAATATCATCCGAGAGCAAATTATGCGAAGTGCTTTGAAGTTGATCGATCAGAAATCACCAAATTGGTTTCGGGAAGAGGTATGAAGGAGAATATTAATATCAGTTTTTCGCATTTATGTGTGTAAAAGAGGGAAAAGATGTTTGGGAAAAAGAAAGAAGAGTGACCTAGGTTACATTTTATTCATTAAATCTATCTTTGTTTTTTCATTTCGAATTCTTATTCTTTGTGAAACATTTATGTCAGAAAATCAGACGAAAGATATATGAAACTCTTGTGCAATCAGACGAAAGATGTATGGAACTCGTCTGTTGCCAGAAAATACTCTTTTATGCCACATCTTTTCCAAAAATTAAGAAAAGTAGTTAATTGCGAAGTTCGACACTGAAATGTGGAAAATTTAGGTTCTAAAGCGTGTAGAACAGAATACTGCAGAGCGAACCCGAAAAAAACTGCTGTCGAGGGAGAAAAAAATTGCACTAGCTTCAAGACGATACACATTGTTATGCAAGTTAGTGTTGTCCTCCAATTTATTTTGAACTGTTGAATGCAATACTTAAACACAATATTATATTCAATAGGCGCTGAATATAATACTCTCGTTATTACTGGAAAAAAGATCTGATTTGTTTGTATGAGTTTTTTCTTCCATTTCTGATCTACTATCCTTGCAACATACTTATACTATTCTCATAGCCAATTAAAATTAACTCAACATACTTAAAGCAGCTAATGAAAATCCATTAATGCCAATCCCAATGCTAATGCCTGGTTAAAGTATCAGGTACCTTTCAAAGCTGTTCACTACAGAATGCAAGATCATTTTATTGAATCTAACAGAGCAGTAAGAATTACAATGAAGATTCATATTATCTCCAAAACCGTACCGTATTTCACTTTAAACATTATGAAATAACTTAGAGAAGTTTTTTATCTATTTCCATATATACTCGTTAATTTTCAGAAAATGTGATGCAATTATTTGCGATAGTAATGATATTGTTGTAACATCTACCTATTCTCACTATCTTTGCATTTGCAAAGAAATTTGGAATCGTTCGAGTCAACGATCATTTCCAAAAGATATGATAGAACGAGAAAATTATTATCAGTTTAAAGGCGTTGGATCGGTATAATTTTTAAACTGTAGCATTGTATGTCATAATCATTCAGCTTATTTAATTTTTTTTTTCTGGAAAATCTTAAACACTTTAAAAAATTTAGCCTTCTTTTCTTTTATTTTCATTTTCAATTTACCTTTACAGATATGTTGTATAAAGTGCAATCATCACTGGGGTCGTGTTGTTCGCTATAACGATTTTACACTACCTCTCATCGCAGCCAATGGTAAAGCTTATAAGTGCTAGTAGCCTTGTTGAAGAAGGAACAGAAAAGTAAATCTTAATCAAATGATTATTTTTTGGTATTAAAAACAAGTGATTTTTGCAGCATTCGTTTTGGTTGCAGAAAATGGGGAAAGATTCCAGAAGAAACAATGGAAGCAGGTATTTTTTAAATTTTCTTTTAATTTGAATTAATTGATTTGGAATTATGGGAAGTATATAAACGCGTAATTTTTTTATTTACACTGATTAGCTGCTCAATTATTTATTACTTAATTCGAATTACTGTTCCTTTATGAATCTTCTAGAAAAGTCTACTTTGTATGAATTTATTTTTGATAATAAATGTGGATCATAGATTTCAAAATAGCATCAATATCTGTCGTATACTTACGTTTTCATTGCAGGCTGTATGCATAAAAAATTATTTTAAAACTCCAGAAAATTGATTTTTTCAGATAGTTGAAAACTTATTCAGTCCTCGGAAAATTGAATTGTGTGACTATGCAATTATGAAAGATATCTCAGCTTTACCCGATCCGATTTCTGATGACTTCTGCATTTAATAATTTTGGTTTTAGTCGCGAGGGTTTTTAGTCTAATATTTTTCAAGTCTGATTGTTTTTGTTCTTGTTTTTTGAGTCAGTCTCTTTAGAGTGAGCGGATTTCTATTTCCTTTGTTTATTCCTTATACTCATCTTGATTTTTTATTTTTGTTACTGGTTTTTCTTGAGCAGGTATTCGTATTTTTACTTTTAAAAAGTTGATTTTTTTGAAGATAACCATTCTTGTTGGGTTGCTAGGTTGGTTATGTTTTCTTCTCTTCTCTATGTTTTGTTACGTTTTTAAATCACTAATGTGGCCTTGTTTTACTTATTAGTATT